GCACTGTCTCACCCAGGCTAGAGTTCAGTGGCTTGATCAGAGCTCACTGCAACTTCAAACTCCTGAACTCAAGTGATCTTCCCTCCCACCTCAGCCTCCTAACTGGCTGGAATTACAGGCATGCACCATTACATCCAGCTAATTTTTGTATTTTTTTTGTAGAGCCAAAGTTTCACCATGTTGCCCAGGCTGGTCTTGAACTCCTGGGCTCAAGCGATCCTCCCATCTCAGCCTCCCAAAGTTCTGAAACTACAGGCATGAGCCACCATGCCTGGCTGATATTGCTTTTAAGATGAGCGGGGGAAACCCATCAATTTAAAACTATATACACAGTCTACAATAATTACATATATATCATATAAGAGCTAACATACACAGGGATGAATACTGGAAAAGGTCCAATGGAATGGTAACAAGGGTTATTCTAAGTTGTGGGTACAGTAGAAAGGTGAACCTCTCCCCCTTTGGAAACGGGGGATACACATGGTTCTCCGAGAAGTGAACTATGAGAGGACATAAGAAATAAGCTGAGTGTGTACCTATGCAACAATCTTGCATGTTCTTCACATGCACCCCAAAACCTAAAATGCAATAAAAATAAAAATTAAAATTAAATTAAATTTAAAAATAAGCTGAAAGAGGTAAGTTATAGCCCAGGCTACTATCTATATGACTATATTAATATATCTACAGAAAATGTAAAGTAAAATTGCTATTAACTGAACCACACAGAATCGAAAAAAGAGAGCTACAGACATAAATGCTCCTGCAGCATTAGGTGGGGGAAGATAGCCAAAGGAATTTGAGTCTTCTGACCTTAAGGGTGAGAACACTGCTTATGTGGAGATGGCTATAGGCAAAGTTATCCCTGTCAAAGCCTGATGCCAGGAAACAATGACTTTACATTCTACCTATCTAACCCCCTTGTTCTGATTCCATGGTCATGAAATGACCTTCTGCTTATGATTCTGTTCCATGCATAATTATATCCAAAGGAAGAGAATGTGCTGATGAAGCAACTACATGTTTAACCTATGAGATGGCAACTCCTTGTTATAAATTAATAAACTGGATTGTCCAGGGAAAGAATGTGCTAATTTATCTATTTATTTGAGACAGCGTCTTGCTTTGTTGCCCAGGCTGGAGTGCTGTAGCTCAGTCATAGCTCACTGCAGCCTCAAACTCGAGCTCAAGGGATCCTCCTGCCTTAGTCTCCTGAGTAGCTGGGATTACAGGCATGTGCTACACTGCCCAGCTAATTTTTTAAAAAAATTTTTGTATAGACAGGGTCTCACCATGTTACCCAGACTAAGAATATGCTAAAATTTAAAAGACTATTTAAGTGTGAGGAAAGCTATTTAAGCTTACTGGTTAAAGACATGGGCTTTGGAATCAGAGAAATACAAGTTTTTTGTTTCATTTTGTTTTGTTTTTTTGAGACAGAGTTTTGCTCTTGTTGCTCAGGTTGGAGTATAATGGCATGATCTCGGCTCATAACAACCTCCACCTCCCGGCTTCAAGTAATTCACCTGCCTCAGCCTCCCAAGTAGCTGGGATTACAGGTGCCCGCCACCACACCTGGCTAATTTTTGTATTTTTAGTAGAGATGGGGTTTCCCCTTATTAGTCAGGCTCATCTCAAACTCCCAACCTCAGGTGATCCACCTGCCTCAGCCTCTCAAAGTGCTGGGATTACAGGCATGAGCCACCATGCGCGGCAGAAATGTGAGTTTAAATCTTGGCTCTGCCACCTGCTGGCTGTGCAGTCGCAGATGCAAAATGAGAGTATTACCTGTCTTGAGGGAGCATAGGCATTAAACAGGACAATGCATACAAAGTACTGAGCAACGTTTGGCACATAGTAGGTGCCCAGTAAATATTTGTTGAATAAACAAAATGAATATACATGATCAATAAGTGGTTCTTGTTATTTAAAATTTGGAATTTAAATGAGCTCAGTTCATGCATGCCTTCCTTTAAAAGACAGATCCAATCTTAGGGCATTGGGCAAAAATCAGAGTTTTGGAATTAACTAACTTGAAGACCAGATTCTTCCAGGTTTTGATAAGCTCTCTAGGTATTTTCCACCATGCTGTGGTGTTGACAGTCTTGTTTTTTCTGATTTTAATACTCTGGATAGTAAGATTATGAGTAACTATTTCCTTTCTATTGTTTCAAATTGTCTATAATACAAAAAAAGTCTTTTTTATTACCTAAGTATTTTTTTTAACTACCACAAAAATTTGGAAAAAGAAAAGATAAATAATAAAGAATAAATGAAAGCTGGAAATAAGGTTTGGCACTAAAATGCATTGCAATAAGGTGCCACAGATTTGCTAACGATAGCAAGGAAATTCAACCCTAAATTTTCTATCAGCCTTCTTAAAAAAGAAAAAATCTATGAGAGTCTCAGCATCTATAAGTTCAGAATAAGGTAAGGACCCAGAAAAAGCACAGCCATTCTTATTAGAAAACCATGAGAGAAATTCTTCATCCCACAGGTATTCATTAAGGTGTTTCTTCTTTCAGTAAGCCACTGGAAAAATGCCAGAACACAAAGTCTAAAATGTAAACTCTGGACCAACTCAAGGGAAGTATTGTTTCTGAACTACAGAAACAAAACAAAGTAAAACCCACACCTCCTTTGAAGTTAATTTCTTCCATAAAATAGTCACATAAAACAAACTGTGGAAATTGTGTTAGATGTATTTGATATACAACACATTTTTCTGCAAAATAACATATCAACATGAAATACCTAAAGACAGTGTGAAAGAAAATAAATAAAACCTGAAAAAAAGAGTTTTTTCAGGCTTTTTTTAACCAAATGCAAAGAATATATTAATAACTTCTTCTTTTTTTGTTTTCTTTTTGAGATAGAGTCTCGCTCTGTCACCCAGGCTAGAGTGCAGTGGAATGATCACGGCTCACTGAAGCTTCAACTTCTTAGGCTCAGGTGATCCTTCCACCTCAGCCTCCTGAGTAGATGGGACTACAGTCTCATGCCACCACGCCCAGCTTATTTTTTTTGTCTTTATTTGTAGAGACGGGGTTTCACCATGTTGCCCAAGCTGGTGGCGAACTCCTGGACTCAAGTGATCCACTTGCCTCAGCCTCCCAAAGTGCTGGGATTACAGATATGAGCCACTGTGCCCAGCCTTATTAATAACTTCTTACTGGTAGATGAACAAAATAACCTTCTTTACTAGAATTAACTGAGATCTTACATTACTTGTTTAGTTTAAATTACAAAATAGTTTAAAAACACAAGGTGGAAATGTCACTGTTATAGGATCAATTTCATATTTTGGAAGAAATACGTTGTTAGTATCTATATTTTCTAACATAAACTATAGTCTAGATCTTACCAGTTGATTCCATTTTCTTGGTAAGTGGTTCTGGGTATTCATCTAAGAAGAAATCTGGTAGCAAAGGATGGCCTGAAAATTGACCCCAAACCATTAGGTTAATTTAACTACAATATATTAAGATTTTAACATCTATTTAATAAACCTATGTTTTATTAAAAATCATTCTGGTGTAATAGAAAAGGCCTCCATGAGAACTGTCAAATGACCTCATCATTAAATTAATTTTCTCATAATTCAGTTATCCTCTTCTCCTCTGATAAACTTTATCTTCCAGATTTAATCCCCAAAAGATCACCTGTTCTGTAAAGCCTTTACCTGCTCTCCCAGGGACCTCTGCCTTTCTCATCCTGTACTGCTCTTCTGACCCACATTCTTCCAAAGTGCTCAGGATTCATTTCTTACCTGCCCTCCTAAGAGCACAGGGTCCCTTCTTAAGAAGGACTTTCTTCTCAGCATTGGTGCATTTGGGTCTTTTCTCTCTTCTTCCTCTCATTCTATCATCATGAAAACTAAGCTATCCCATTCCATCTATTCCACTGGGTTGTTTATTATTATTGTTATTATTATTATTATTATTGAGACAGGGTCTCACTGTCACCCAGGCTGGAGTGCAGTGGCATGATCTCGGCTCACTGCAATCTCTATTTCCTGGGCACAAGTGGTCCTCCTCCCTCAGCCTCCTGAGTAACTGGGACCACAGGCACAAACCACCATGACCAGCTAATTTTTATTTATTTTTTTGAGATGGAGTCTCGCTCTGTTACCCAGGCTTGAGTGCAGTGAAGTGATCTTGGCTCACTGTACCCTCTACCTTTCAGGTTCAAGCAATCCTCCTGCCTCAGCCTCCTGAGCAGCTGAAATTACAGGTGCCTGCCACCACACCTGGCTAATTTTTGTATTTTTTTAGCAGACAGTGTTTCACCATATTGGTCAGGCTGGTCTTGAACCCCTCACCTCATGTGATCCACCTGCCTCGACCTCCCAAAGTGCTGGGATTACAAGCGTGAACCATCACGCCTGGCCACTAATTTTAATTTTTTGCAGAGATGGGGTTTTGCCATGTTGCCCAGTATTGTCTTGAACTCCTTAGTTCAAGTGGTCTGCTAGCCTCAGCCTCCCAAAGTGCTGGGATTACAGGTGTGACCCACTGCACACAGTCTCCACTGGGTCTTATTTTCAGCTAACAGTTGTGGTTAGCAAATAGGTTAACTGTTCTAATTACACTGATAACTCCAAGACATAATCACTAGGAGATTAAAAGGCCACAAAGCCTTAAAACTGTAGTACAATGAGATGTTAACAATCTCAATTGTTCTCCCTCCCTCCCTTCCTTCCTTTTTTTTTTTTTTTTTCTTGAGATGGGGTCTTGCTGTTTTGCCCAGGCTGGTCTCAAACTCCTGGGCTCAAATGAGCCTCCTGCCTCAGTCTCCTGTCTCTCTCCCTGTTTTTCAGAAGTTTAAGCAAACTTCTGGAGGGCAGGAATGAATTCATCTTTGTTATAGCCTCATATCACAGTATCTGGTCATATTAAGTTCTCAATACATAATAGGATTTTTAATTTAAATAAAATGTTTAAATTTGTGCACAATTACACTGTGTCTTTAAAACTTAAAGTAATAATTACATTCCTGGGCACCAGGACCCAGAAGACCTGAATCTGGTCAGGTTCTGCCACCTATTAGCCGTCTGCTCTTAGGCAAAGACTCAATCTCTCTGTGCCTGTTTTTCCACTTGTAAATATTAACTACTAAATATTTTGAGTGTACTATATGCCAGGCATTGTGACAAACACATTATACATTACCTCATTTAGTCTTTACAAAAGTCTTGTATGAAATGTTTTGTTTTCCTAAGTTTATACAGAAATTGAGGCTGAGACAGACAAACTGGGTAACATGCTCAAAGCTGCATAGCAGTGAGCAGCAGAGCCGCAGTAGGAACCCGGGTTGTTCCATGTTCTTTTTTTTTTTTTTTTTTTTTTTTTTTGAGACGGAGTTTCGCTCTTGTTACCCAGGCTGGAGT